AGGGCCTTCTCGGCATCATGATGTCTTTCAGCATACTGAGTTTTGTCCTTAATGCTGAATTACTAAATAAAATTTATTATGTATCTATGTATTTTATTTCTTTTTCTTCCTTTATAGGGGATATTTTAAACCTACAAGTCTATTACCCTTGGGAGTTCCTTTCCAGTTCTCCTTGCAGGACAGTTGTTTTCCCGCTAATGACTTCTGGCATTACCTACTGGGTGATCAAGTCTTTGCAGCAGCTGGGCATATGTTCAAGTTGCATCAACAGCTACACCCTTCTTGTATCACCTCGCCTTCTCTTTACAATCTTTTCTTTCATACTTGACTATAGTGTTTATCGATTAGCTCCTTCCTGGGAAGCGGATCGGTGGAAAGCACTGGTGCTTCTTGCTGGATCATATGTCACTCTGGTATTTTATACAAGAACCTTTACCAACACACTCGAAGGACTTCTCTTTGCTCTTCTGATGGTATTGGTTTCCTCAAGAAAGCCTGACAGCAGCTTAGTGGAGCCTACACACAGCCCTCTCATAGGTATTGTAACAACTGCTGGGTTTTTCAACAGGCCAACGTTCTTGGCATTTGCTCTAATGCCCCTGCTTTACTGGGCAGGTTTCATTATTGACTCTCAAAGGAGCATTAAAAGTGCCATAAACCACTTTTCGAAGCTTGTCCTATGTGCATGTTTTACTGCTGTTGTTTTCATAACAGCTGACACCTTCTATTTCACCACTGTGGGCTTAGACAACCTCTATAACATTAAGAATAACAGTCTATTTGATGTAATAGGTCAACTAAATGAGAAAATGATAGTAACCCCTTTCAATTTTCTCAGTTACAATCTTAATCCTCAGAATCTTGCACTGCACGGAAGTCACCCACGAGTTACACATTTTACAGTCAATGGAATGATGCTCTTTGGGATCTTGCATGTTCTGGCCATTGGTGCTGGTTGTAAAATGTTAAAGCAATATATCTGTCAGTTAATACGGGTCAAATCACATTACCATGGGTCATCCGGGCTCTTAGTGCATTCCAAGGGCAAGCCAACATTACTGCTGTTTTATTTTGTTCCTCTGGCATTTCTCTCTCTATTCAGTCACCAAGAACCTCGGTTTCTTATTCCTCTCATCTTGCCGTTAGTCCTGTTCAGCACGTCACAGAACAGAGCTATGAAGTGGAAATACATCATTGTTATTTTCAATATGCTCGGGGCTTTGCTGTTTGGGTGCTTACACCAGGGAGGACTGATACCATGTTTGTTTCGCTTGGAGCAACTCGTGCATTCTCCAGAGTCCTCAAGCCATCCAAGGCACTACACTCTACTTTTTGCTCACACCTACATGCCTCCTCGATCTCTGCTTAATATCAAGAAGAGAGACACACATATAGAAGTCATTGATATGGCTGGGTCTGAAGAAGAAACCCTCTGCCAGACAGTAGAGCAGCGAGCAAATGATTTTACCTGCAATGACTGTCATGTTTTTGTTGTAATCCCTGGTACTATCAGGGCCACAATTACAAAATGTGGCGTCTCATTCTTGAATGAGACTTTGATATTTCCACACTTATCAATGGAAGACCCACCACACATACCCTTCCTATTAAGCAGAAATTGGAGAAGTCAGTTAGGACTATACATCCTTCAGCTAGGCAGAAATCAGCAGAGCCTTTAGATTTCAGGAAAACAAGGTTTTAGTCTGTGACTTCACGGGTGCTCCCCAAAGGTGCTGCAAGACCTTCTTCTTTACAGACCCACTTTCAGCATGAATAGTGGCATTTGGAGCCCCCCGTCGGGTCTCTTTATTCATGCCCTTCCCTTACCCACAGAGCCAGTTCCTGATAGAACCTGCTAAAAACTTGAGTTTCCCAGCCTCTGTGGTATTTCATGTGAACTTACGTCATTCTCCTGTTAGAAGGGACTGAAATCAGAACCCACCAAAACTGTGACTCAAGCTTAGCACTTTCCATGTGAGATTCTTGAAAGTTCTCATAATCTGACTGAAGGTTTATGAACTGTGTGTTTTTTACTGATAGCAGGTATTAACTTAGCTGCCAGAGGTCACAAGTCTAGAGAAAAGCCAGTCTGTCTCACAAAGGTTTTATTTTTAGGCTCTTAAGAGTCCCCACTCAGTCATTAGATCAGGCTGCAGCAACAGTGTAAGCACCAGCACTCCAATACAGGCTTGGGTGGTTCTGTCTTGAAGAATCCCCAGCACTGATCTGACAGAATCTGATTTAGAACATGGAAGGTGCTTCAGCCTAAGTACTTGTGCTAAATCCTAAAATCCAAGCTTTGCCTGCTTGATGTTTCTTGCTGCACTTCCATTCTTGTAGATATGCTACACATGTACTGCAAGGAGCAGCTTGAGAGTCCTGCATTCTGATGGATTAAGCCCATCTGTTGTTTAGCTACTGCAGGCAGGGTAGTCCTCCCCATGCGTGCTGCTGCTGCACATCCCGTAGCTTTCCCTGCTCCATCGCGGCTCCAACACAGTCGATAGTGCAGGGCAGGCCCTGCAGTGAGCTGGTTCAAGGAGCTGCATGAACAGAAAACAGGCCACTCAGAGGGATTTGATCCTTTGTATGCATTTGACGAGATGGATCTCCAAACTGGCTAGAGATACCCCAGTTCTGCTGCAGGGGAGCATGTGAGGATCCAAGGGAGGTACCACAAGCCCTGTGCCCCCCTCCCCTTTAGAAACTGCTCCCCATTAAATCAGCTTATGAGAATGACAGATGACTTCCTGGCTCTCTACTGGAGAGCAGTCTGATTTGGAAGTGTGATACAAATAACTGAGCTTCAGCTGGGAACAATGTTTATGTTTAATAGTATAGTACTACTAACAATGTTCAGGTTTGTCTGTGTGAACTTCTGGATCAGAAACATCCCAACACAGAGGGAAATAAGAATTTGGCATGTACTTTGTAGGTCAAGCCTCTCTCTGTGAATGAATCTTACAATGGAATTCTCTCTGCTCACAAAGGTAGTAATGCTTGTTGCAGTTCTTCATCCACACAGCTTTATATAAGGGCTTATGAGCCAGTTTTTCAACAGACAATAATAATACAGGTTGACTTCAGGCTCTAAAGGGAAGCAAGGAGAAATCCCATTGAAGGATTTACCTTTATCTTCCAAACTACACATACCTCTAAGTTTTTAAGGAAGGTAACTCTCTCTTGTAAAGCATTTTGTGTTGTCTCCCTTACATGTTCATCCCACATCCTTCATCCCTCATCCTTCATCCCTCATTATTGGCAGGCCTGTAAATTAAAGGTGTGTGTTTCTGAGGGTGGGGGGTAACAGGTAAATGTATCTTTGTACTGGTGACTCCTGAAGTAGTGAAAGTAGTTGTGAAAACATTGTGACGCCAAATGTATTTTTCATGTTAATTTCCTTTTTGTTCTTGTACGCTGGGATGACAGCATGTGCCACAGCTGGTACTCCATTTCCTGCTTACTGTTTTCAGGTTTCTTTAACAGCTTAAGACTTATGACCTCTGGTCATCTCAGTGGGGTAGATCTTGAAACTGTTCAGGGATGTGATGGAGTACCTCCCACAGCACATTGACTTCTCCATCACTGCACTGTGACGCAGCCAGGAAGAGAACCTGGACTACAAATACTAACTCAGCCTGAAAATACACCAATTTTGTCTCACCGACTAGATGCAGGCTTTCCATCTGTGCACACCTAAGTCTTTGCTGGTGGGAAGTTTAATTTTATCAGCAATGCTGGAAACTGTATCTCAGATGATTTACAAGATTCTTTCCACCCGGGGTGATACAAATAATGGAAATCACCCCCTCAGTTTTTAGTCAGGTGGATTAAATATTGAAACATGTAACGAAAGAATGTTAATTAGTCTTGTAGATGTTGATACAGCAACTCAAGTAAACCACCCCGGTGCATCAAATATGCTGGATATATTATTTTCCATATTTATAATTAGGATGGATTCGTTGGCCATTTACTCCCTTGTAAACCCTTCTTGCTACCACAGACTTTAGGTGTGCTATAACTACTGAATCTCTTACCTACCTGTAAAATGGGCGATTGTCCTATCCTTCCTCATCGACACTCAGACCTCTTTTTGTATCAAAGCTGTATGAAATGTGGAGTATTTCTGATGTGTAGACAGAAACTGTTAAAGGAACTCCTGTGAGAAATATGGGTTTATTTCGAGTTTCTTATCGAGCACTGAAAGTGACAATCCTGACAGTATTCTGGACGATGTTTAATGCGAGTCTCCCTTCTGCCCGTTACGGACTACTGCGGAGGGCGCACGCTGACTCTGAAATGAGAGCCCATTGCACCGGTGAGCGCCGCGCTTCCCGTTCTCACGCTCAGACGCAGGGACGTCTCCTGGCGACGCCCGGTGTGTGGAGCAGCAGCCTCAGTCCGCAGCTCGCAGGCCGGGGTCACGCCGGGTCCTCCGCGCCTGCCGCAGCGCACCCGTGGGCCGACCAGTCCCGGAAAGGCTGGGGGGGCCCTGCAGCCGCCGGAAGCCCGTCACCCAAGCGCCGGGGCCCGCCCGCTGCCGGCTCCGCCGCGCTCCTCCTCCAGCGCCCAGCGGTTTCTTTCTCCTCGTGGAGGGGTCCTGTGCCGGCTGCTGCCCCGTAGCTCCCCTCAGCTCGACAGCGCTCAGGGCGCAGCTCCGGGGCGGCCGCCCTGACCCGACCCGCGCCTTGGGGGCCATGGCCAGCCCCGCGCGCTGCCCTTCAGCTCCGCGAGCACGGCGTCGCGCAGGCGCAGCAAGCAAGGGGTCAGGCCCCGCGCTGCCTGGCGAGCGCTGAGCTGCCCGCGGGTGATGGCGGCGGCGGTGAGGCGGGCGGCGGCGCGGATGGGCCGGGACTCGGAGAGCCTCTCCACCACCCGCGGGCTGCTCAGCAGCGCCAGCAGCACCCGCCGCAGCACCATCCCGCCCCCGCGAGAGACGGCCTCTCTCGCGAGAGCAGACACCTGCACCCTGCCCCGCCTGCTCTCGCGAGGGCCGTGGCCTTCCTCGCTATTGGCTGCCCGCTTAGTGGCCGCCGGTGGCGCGTGCAGGGACCGTGCTGAGGGGCGGCAGCGCCATGTGTTCCGCGGACACCCTGAGCGTCTTGCGCAGCGACTCCTACGTTGACCTCAGCCAGTACCGGGACCAGCACTTCCGGGTGAGCGGGGCCTTGCCGCCGCTGCTGCTGCTGCCGCTGCTGCCGCTGCCGCTGCCGCGGGGGGTGGGGGCAGCGGGGAACTCCTGGGCCGGGCCTGGTTGTCGTCGGGTAACGCTGTCGTTGCCGCTCAGGGGACGCGGTATGACCAGGAGCGGCTGCTGAGGAAGAGCTGCACGCTGTACGTGGGGAACCTCTCCTTCTACACCACGGAGGAGCAGATCCATGAGCTCTTCGGTAAGAGCGGCGACATCAAGAAGGTCATCATGGGGCTGGACAAAGTGAAGAAAACTCCCTGCGGCTTCTGCTTTGTGGAGTATCCTTCTGTGGGCCCGGCCCCGCCGCCACTGGTGGGGCCGACCCGGTGGGTGCTGCGGCGGGGGGCGGGAGCGGCTGGGCCGCGGGCGAGCAGAAATGCGGGCTCCGGGTCACGGGGGCATGACCCGAGGGTAGAGCTACTCGGTTGCCAAAGCGTGCGAGGTAGTTCTGGGCGAGAGGGGGCAGCGCGAGGTTATTTATTGTCTTAAAAGCCTTTTCCAACCTGAACCGTTCTGCGGTTCTAACATCCCTGCACGTCGAGTGGTGGTTATTGGGTTGCTTTCACTCTGATGCTTTCAGCCAGACACTTGTTAGTTGGCCTCTGTAGTAAAAGCATATTCTCAGTGCCCAAGTAAAGAGTCTCGTACAGTCTCACCCGTAGTTTCTGTTGGTATGTGGCATCCCTGTAATGTGTTGGCTTTGTTACTTTGATCTTTGAAGATCATTCTGTTACTGGTTCCAGCAAAGTCACCAAAATGGTGAAAGATTGCCATGTTAACGGAGCATGCGCTTTGCCATGCAAAGAATGTGTGGAGCTTTGCATTCTTGCTTTGTTAATAGGGCTTTGTGCTTTTACAGGTGAGTGTGGTTGAAGAACTTGATCCAGTATACGCATTTTTGGTATTCTTGAGCTCCTGCACATTGCTGTTTCACTAGCAGTTTTTTTAGTGTATATAGCTTCATAAAAGCAGTTGCTTTTAAAGCTAACCAAGCAAGAACCTGATTCAAGCAAATACTTGGTTTTTGGCCCATTCAATGTTGATTTTCCCTATGGTGAAAATAGAAGCCCCCCTCCCCCTTTTTTTTTCATTAACTTATTCCTAAGGTATTATGCAAGAGGAGATGCTGAAAATGCAATGCGATATATCAATGGAACCAGACTTGATGACAGGATCATAAGGACAGACTGGGATGCAGGATTTAAGGAGGGTAGACAGTATGGTCGTGGAAGATCAGGGGGCCAGGTAAGTTGTTTTACAGTCTAGATTTTAATTTGGCATTGCCAAATTACTGGGTTTTGAATGAACCCACTCGGAGCAACTTAAAAAATAGTAACTTCAAAGTCATTGTTTAAGAGATCTTCTCAGTGATGATGTTATCCACCAAGAATAAATAACTTTTTCATGTATTTAGTTGAAAGTACTTTCAGAAACTTTGTGGCTGCTTGGGGAGACAACACTTAAAATAAGCCCAGAAAATGTAAGGTTGTCAGGAACACAGAGGACAGCACCTAGCTTACCTGAAGTTGAGCAGGTAGCAGATGCTTTTACTCCTGAAGCATGAGGCTGGCCATCCTCCCTTGATTGTTGTAATTAAAAGAGTCCCCCTGGGCATTGTTAAAAAGGAAGTTAGTTTATCCTGTGTTCTGGCCTTCTGCATAATGTGCTTTGCCTTCTCTTGTCAGTCAGCTCCTTGTGGTCACTTACTTGTTGTAAACTCGTTTTGACTATTCTGATGTTGTAACAGTTTCTGAGACATTGTTTTAATTTGTCTTTACTGGAATTCCCTTTTTCCCTCCTTTGTAAGGTCCGCGATGAATATCGGCAAGACTATGATGCTGGAAGAGGTGGCTATGGCAAAAATGTTCAGTGCCAGTGAATAGTGAATGACTCGTCAGCCTCACAGGAGAGCTAGATTTGTGTTGTAAATGTCATCAGGCACAAAGTAGGTCTGCTGCACACCAATTTATGTAGCTAGAAATTCACAGAAATTACTACCCTTGATCCTGTGATTGCGTATGTTCAATATCTCTTTCGTTTTAATATTGGGATCCAAAGCATTGCAGAGTACATTAATACAGAGGACCTGGGAGTGAGGTTTTAAGCAATAATATGGGTGAGGCTTTGGTGTTTAAACGCTGCTGTAACTTTACTAAAGAAACAAAGTCTTAATGGTATGGTGCTTTTTTTCTTTTTCACTGTCAAAGCTTGATTTTTTTCTGTCACTGGGATTTGTTTACACTGGTATCACAGGGTGGAGAATGGCAATAAAGGAGGGTTGGGGAATGTGTCAGAGATGAAAGAAAAAGGCAGAAAGCCCAGGAAAACAAGTGGAATTTCTAGGGAAACTTTCAATTTCTAGGGAAGACTTAAAGTTGCAGCTTTTCTGGTGTTCCTGGATGAGCAGCTTTTCACACTGAGGCTGTTCTTAGCACACCTACGTGAATGGCCACAGTAAACCAAGTCAGATTGTGAGCCCAGGAATCATAAAGTAAGAAGCAAACCTAGCAGAAAACAGCCATGCCCTCTTCTACAGAGCATCCTGTAATTGTGTGAAATTGCATGATACAGAACCATTTTGCTTTGTGGGATGCAGAGAGTGTAAGAGTTACAGTTGCAGTTATTTTTACAGTTGGAGTAGTAATATTTTGTCCCTGTCTGGTAGCTCTCTACAGCCTCAGTATCTGAGGAACAGTATCTTTCCTGTGCCTAAACAGGTGGCATGAAGCCACATTGTACATTTGCCCCCAGAATGGGATGTTTGAGGAACTGTATGTATAGTGAGAAAGTTTGTTCTCAAAATAGATTTTCTAGTTGAGAAACTGCAGTACAAACAAAGGTAAAGATAAAGAAAGTTGAGTTTGAGGAAGAGCTTTAGTTTTTACTGAGCATGTGGTAAGAATGGTGAAAGAATGCAGGATTGCACAGATTTATTTTGGTTTTTCCTTCTTCTTCCTGTGAGTCCTATTAATGCTGCTACTTTGTGTGATGGGATTTTGAGGTACTGCAGGTACAGGAATAAAAAGAATTAGTGATCCCAAGATCTGTGAAATTGACCTGCTAAAACGAAATAACTGTTACAGGGCTGGGGATTATTGGTTAGATTTGGTTGGTTTGGTTATTTTACGGACTTCCGAGTTCTTTGGAAATTGCAATTTACAGAGTTTTGTCCACATATCTTGTTTATGACTCCTTGAAAAACTTCAGAATACCAGGTATGTAAAAGTTGATCTTTACTCACTGAAGATATTTTTGGAAATCTTGATCAGTTTCTTGTGAACAGTTAGTCATAACTGTTCCTCTAAATTCAAAATACAGTGAGGAAGAGCAACTGCAATGAGACTTGGCTTTCTTAGGAAGCAAGGTTGTGGGTGGGCTTTGGGCTTGTTTGGCACATGGATTAAAACTACATTTTCAGGATCACTTGGTGCTGGTCTGCAAACAAGACTTTGAATAGAGTTACCTTTTTCTATATAGTACATTTGATCATGAGTTTACAGCTTACAATCTGCTCTAGGAAACCTCTGAAATTTATTTTTCATTATATCAATTTTGTATTAAAAAAAATGTATTACCAAAACTTTTAAGTTACTGTCAAATAAAGCTGCGAATTTAAAATGGATTGTTATATTTATATTTTCTTTACAAAATCAGTGAGAGAAAGAAGCTATATTGAGACTCTTGTCCACAGCCTTTATTTTAGTGTCTTACAAGATGGAGAGAATGAATATTGCTTCCCTCTGACTGGATTTTCAGTGTTGTTTAGTTCTTAGGTGGATGCTGACAGTTGTTTGGTTAATGCTGTTCTTTCTGATACTTTTTGGATTATGGAACAGAAATTAAATTACTGATACTGAAGTGGATGTGAAAGTCCTTGTTGTGTAACAAGTAGCTATCAAGGTGCACTTGCTTATAAAAATGAGGCTTTAAATTATTTTTTATTCTAAGTGCTGCAAGACATTCATTCTCAAATGAAATGGAGGTGATAGTAAGATTTCCACTCAAAACCATCTGTCTTTTGCTGCATATGTGCAACATGTACAGAAAGATTTTGTCTTAAAGTGAGATTTTTCTATTTTGAGGGAAATTTCAATCAAACTGGTATTAAAAAGCACAAGATGCCTCATGTAAAGTCACAGTATCTCAAAAGCTTGTACATAGGAAATTGGATTGATTTTTGCCTTCCCTGATTGAAATTGGACATGGCTCTGCTGAAACTAGTGTTTAACACAAGTAACTGGATTAAGTCTTTAAAACTTCATTGAGGGGCTTCTTTAGCTTTCTTATGTACCAGTTTATTGTGATTCAGTTCTCTTGGGAGTACAGGATCTCTTGTGATTTTTGACATGCCAGTCCATTATATATACACTTTCCTAGAAGTTTTAAGATCTATATTAGCTTTTCTAAATACCTGTTCATTGTAAGTAGGTACTCCTATGGAATTCTATCCATAAAGAAATACATCAGCTAAGAATATGGGTGGAAGCTTAGTCATGCCTTGGGGGAAGAGCGGCTGTTACAAATCAAGGCAGCAAGAGCTTCAGTCTCCCACAGACTGGTGCAGCCTCATGGTGGATTGATTTACATGCCTCTCTTTGGTACCAATAGCTGCAAATAAGATTTGTATGCACAGCATTTGAGCCTTTGTATTGCAGTGTAAATTGGAGCATTAAAAGCCTTCATTTTCAATGACTGACAAAATAATCCCTGTTACCAGTGTAGCCCTGCAGGCTGGTTCCAAGGTGGTCTTTATATCAGTCAGATTACTTACTACCCTGTGCAGCAGCAAAGTTTGTGCTCAGATTGGTGCCAGTGCAGCCACCATTGGTGTTAAGATTCTTTCTACACAGGCAATTCTGAAAGACAAAATGATTCAAGTATTTAAATTAATATGCATCCAAGTATTTCATCTTTCACAGCTTGTCAGATCAGGTTTCTTGTGAAGGTAAAAATCCACTAAGAACTCTACTAAAATCAAGCGGCTTATACAAAGGCTTTTGATCTATAGTCGAAGACAATGCTAATCAAAAAGGAACACAGTCCACAGGGACTCAACATCTAATAAACTGTTGTCCATTTATTAGATGTTCAGTCCATCTGAGTTTCTAAAGGACAGATTGTACCTTCTGCTACAGCATATAAATAAAGAAGAATTAGACTGGGTATTTTTATTTGCAGTTGCTGGGATTTCTGCTCCTAATTAAGTGTGTTTGGTACTTTCAGGTAAGTGTAGAGCCTGATACAACTACAGCTAAAGCACAAAAAAATTGTCAGAGACTGCAGAGAGAAGCGTCCTGGGCTTCGAAATGTCTGTCATGTTTGGAAAAATACTGGCCTGATTTATTAATTGCCTGCTTTCACGTGTCTCCTGCCTGCATCTGTCTAAATAAGCTTTTGCACAAGGGACTGGATAGACTCAGAGCTGCTCTACAGTAACACACAACTCCTCTGCTATCCCTTTGGGGTAACTAGATGGTGTAAATGTTTCTTGTGGCTTGGGGAAGTTTCTTCCATAGTTTCTGAAGATTACCTTCCTGCTGCTCTGCTTCCCAGCCTGCTTTCAAAGGCAAAGGTGTACTTCAGTGAGGTAATATTCTTCAAAATTATTTTGGCTTCTACCTGAAGGCTATTTGAATGTCTGTGAGGGTTTCTTACAGGGAAAAAAAAAGGGGGGGCGGGGAGGAAACGTGTAGAGAAACTCTACTTTGCAGCATTTATTAGTTGGTATGTTTAGATCTGACACCAATTTTCCCTTTAGCAGAGCCATGAAATTTTGAGTTTCAAACCCTTAAGGAGCGGCACAAGTCAAATGCCAGATGGCTCCCTCTAGTGAGTACAGAATTAGTATGCTTTTAAGTTCCGACATATCCAAGAGGGCTGCTGAAAGCTCTGTGCAGTGTCCTGTGTGTGGTCCGCTCTCAAGATTCTGCTTTTGTATCGTAAAAATGGGCAAAACCATAATTTTCATCTGTAGACCGTTTTTCAGAGTGGTGGCAACTAGAGATCAGGGATCCATGAGTTTGTAACCCGTTGTTGTTTCTCTATTTAGTAGCAGCTCAGTTGTCTTGTACTGGGTATTGCAATATGCTGTGTCTGTGGTGATCTCCTTTCCTGCCCCTAGCAACCTCTTCAGATGTTGCCAGAGGCACACCTGTGATACTGAAGGAGGGCTTGACCCTTAGATGCCAAATCCATGCTTCACAACCTCCCAGTAATTATATTGTGTAGCTGTGCCAGAAGATCTCCCTGTGCCAACCATCTGTTTTTCAATCTCTAGCGGGTTATGAAATTCTGTGTCACACACAACAAAGTAAATGTATGCAGCTTGGCAAGACAGTAGGCAGGGTCTTAAGTGTGTAATTTGTTTCTGTGGGGTTGAGGTAGTCCTTCAGGCACTTTGCAGACTTCAGTGTTTTGCTTCAGAATATCTCTGCGGGGAAAGTGCCCTTTTGTATCTTACAGTTTTTTGATCTGAGACATAAGGGAGTTTATGCTGTGTGACAAGCCTGTGGTGGGTGAGGAGTTGAGCTCCCAGTCTCCTCAATCCTAGCTCTGAGAAGTCTTTCTTACTTGTGCTAATGTACTTCATGACACAGCGAGTATAAGAAAGACACACAAGTACCCTTCTCACACGTGGCTTAGGAAGATGAGCAGTACATGCAGGATATAGATCAAGTCTTTTAAACCATTTTTAGAAGATAATCATAAATACCTTAGGAACACAGTAGGGGTCTAGTAGAATGAATCCTCTCCATGCAGGACTGATGTCATTTTTTCATATTAATACCTTTCAAAGCAGTTGTAGACATCTTTGCTTAAGTCTTTCACTAGTCTGATGGAAGCACTGTACCATTTTACAAGTAGTGAACAGTTGAGTAAAGACTATGTTTAAAACTTTCCTTCCCAGGAGCATCTTTGCCTGAATTCCAGAGAGTGCTTTTCAATGGTAACATGACTGCGTGGAATGGCTTTTCATGTAAATCCCTTTGCAGGGTCTTGGTTGTTCATTGCACCTTTGTGCTGTGTTACATTTGGCAGAAACAGTAATTCAAGAGTGCGTAACCTGAGTTAAATGGGGGGGGAGGGGGGGGGTATTTATTTGGTTTTCACATTTGAAGGCCAATTATTAAATTATTCCTGGTGTAGGATTTTATTGCTTTGAAGGTACTACAGCAGACATTTGCTTTTGGAAAACCTTTCTTGACTGTTCAGCAAGAGCAGCCATTCTGGCTGAATGTATCAGAAGCTTTCTCTGTTCTCCAGTGCTCATCTCTGACTACATAAAACCTGTATTTACTTTGTTCTGTTGCTCTCCACCAAAGTCTGTACAAAGCCAGTTGCTTCTGCGCTGACAGGAAAATCCACCACTGTTTCAGAATCATAAAACTGACTAGGTTGGAAAAGGCCTTTAAGATCAAGTCCAACCCAGGACTGCCAAGTCCACCACTAAACCGTATCACTGAGGGCCTCATCTGCACCTTTTTTGAACACTTCCAGGGATGGTGATTCCACCGCTTCCCTGGTAAGTCTGTTCCAATACCTGATTACCCTCCATGTAATACCTTCCTGATACCCAATCTAAACCTCCTGTGGCACAGTTTGAGGCTGTTACCTCTTGTCCTGTTGCTTGTTACTTGGGAGAAGAGACTGACCCCCACCTCACTACAACCTCCTTTCAGGTAGTTGTAGAAAGCGATAGAGAGCACTTCAGCACCTCAGTGTCTTTCCCGTAGCAGGGGTACAGAACTGAATGCTGAATGAGGGGCTGAGTCAGGATTTCAAATGCCAAGTTGCACAGGGAGAAACTGAAATACCTTCCATCAGAAAATAGTGTGAATTGAGCATTACTGAGTTAATGACCTGGAAAGCATCTTTCACAAGTGCCTTGAGGATAAGTATGTTTCTGAAAATAAGACTGTATGTTAAGTAATTTGGTTGAATTTTATTTAATTAGAGGTATCTCTGATTTCCTTTTCAAGGTGCACCATTTATTGATCCTTCTCGGACTGGTATTTTTCAATTAAGACAATATTGAACTACAACTCATGTGATTTCAGGTATAATTAAAAGACTTTTTTTTTTTTCCCTGAACACAATTTGAAAACAAATGGCAAATAAAATTTACTATTTTGATATTTCTCCAGTTATGTGCAACATAAATATCAGCATAAATTAGCCTAATTGGGTCAGCTTGTAATTAGATTTCTGGACACTATAGCTTTTCCCTTCTGTACCAATCTCTTCCTGCAAGCCACGATTTAAAAATGAGATTATGATTTTCTAGTGGGTAAGAATATATTAAATATTCATAATGCATACTTTAGGTCTGTAGCTTACATGGAGTTTGAATTGCTTCGAACCGAACTTTTGTTTTTCTGACTTTATTACTTTAAAATAATGTTCTTATTTCATACTTTGGGTTTTTGAATACTTTAAGGGGAATTTTTCTGACTTAAAAAAGTGCTGCTAGTTTGTTCAGCGTGGTTTTGTTTTGTGTTTGGTTTTCTGTAATATCACTATCTTGCAACATCTTAAATTACTTCTTGTGAAAACAGCACCCTGTCAGCTTGTCATGCAGCCACAAGATGTCATGAGAAGCCGTGCCTCACTGCAGGAGGAGTGAGAGTGCTCTTCAAGTGCTTTGTGAGCACTCACAAGGGGCAAGTCGAGCAGTAGTTCTGGAACCAGGTGTTCTGGAAACATCTCAGTTCTCCATACAACTATTGCAGTGTCTCAATTTCTTCAAGTAACTCTTTCATATTAGGGTTATGCTTGAAACAAGTGACTGGTAACTGCTTGAACTGTCTTCTAACATGCCCTGAAGCAGCAGATGTGCTTTAAGGTTCCCAAGATGTAGCATGCCCTGTAACATTAAGCACCGTAGAACTGAAAGGTTCTCTATGTAGTAACCATGATTGTGCATGCTGGAAGAGGGCTGGTTTGTGGTTTGGGTTTTGCAGAGGTTAGGTTGGTTTGGTGGGGTTTTTTTTCCCCTCTGAATTTACTCCAGTAAGAGAAGTGTTCTTCCGGGAACTGGAAAGGACTTTCTCCCATTAAATCCAGGAATGTCCCAGAGCCTGCACTTTTGCTTCTGCTTTTAAATTCCCAGCTGAATTTCCTCTTTGAAAGCTCCATATTAGCTTGAAAAAGCTATCAAGCAGCAACTTTGCATAAATTAAACATTTAATATGCTAGTGTGCCCAAAGAGTTCTTGAAAGGTCTCATGGGATCAGTATTGACTCCTGAGTTGTATCTTGGCATGAGTCAGGGAAGCTGAGTAAAACAGTGTCACAAAAAGAAACCACAGCTTTCTGGTAGGAGGGATAAAAATCCCTCAGGGTAAGTGTCTGAAATCAGTTGCAAGACAGTATTTTTCTCAGAATCCAAGGCTGTGAGGGCCAACAAATATTACTTGGTCTACAGAGTTGGACAGAGAAAGACCTTAGTTCAGGAGAGCACAGAAAGTTGGCACTATATGAAAAGTGAGGGAAAGATTCCAGGTAATTTGTGTTAATCCAATAATTCGGATTCTAGACACAAAATGGGTCACTGAGGCAAAGTTAATAAAACATTAGAAGAGGCCCAGCAGCCTGAATAAATACATGGTGTTCATCAGCAGTCCCTGGATATGGTGTTGATTCTGTTTGATCATGTATTTTCCCCTAAAGATACTTAATTGAACTAAAACTGGTGTGAGACTGAGTTTGTTATGATTGATTCATTCCCTATCAGAAAACAAAATCACTTTGATGTACGTGAATGATCAGTGCTGTTTCTCGTTGTGCTCTGTGAATTGTCTTCCCTGTCGAGCAGAGTACTTCACAAGCTGGAGCACTCTGTGAGCAGTGCACGCCTCAGCAGGCACAACACGTTTGTTATTGTCAATATGGAGGTGAATAGAATAGAGAACGAAATAATTTCAATCTCTTTATAAGAAAGAATGATTCAGGGCTCCAACTTCAGGCAAATCTGAAAGTAATTAACTATTCCCAGACCTACAGCTGAAAAAGAAAACAAGAAAAACAAAGAAAACATCATACAAAGCGGTGTGCTTGAAGTACCAAAGCTTTAAGGTGCTCAGGATTGTGGTGGACTCTTGGACTGTAGAGTTGGATGTGCAGCACTGGAGAGAGCCTGTTTTCACTGGATATTAGCAGGATGTGTGTATCCCACCTGTTGGAGGACGATGGGTGTTATAGCAGGCAAAGGCTTCAGAGCATATGTAGAGCTATACTGCAACTGCCTTGTGTGCAGAGGGTCAGGGCACTTTTCCCTATGTATGTGGCACTAGAACAAAGCTCGTGATTTTCTTTTTTTAATGGTTATGGCAGGTGCTGCCTCTGTTCAGGAAGAGACTTTCATTGCAGCTGTAAAGTCTAGGGAAATTTAATGTATTCCATGGATATACAGATACAACAATATGGGTTGAAGTATGTGAGGTTACTGGAATATTTTTTTTTCACCTTTTGATATTTTAGGTTATAATAATTTGAAGTGAATATTTTCGTGCACATAAAATGCAAAATTGCCTCTCAATAATTATTTTGTCACTGTTAGCCAGAGATTCACTACGCTATGCAGTTTAACAATGCAGTTCTCTTCTTAGCTGTGTATCATTAGAATCCTAGGAAATCAGTTTCTTCAGGAGTTCCAAAATTCACAGATATGTGAGCACAGTCCAGCATAAGTTAAAAGCAGTTTTAATTTCTTCTTTTTTTCCCAACCTCAGTGAAATGGATTTTCTAATGTAGGAAGCATATAATACAAATTCATTTTGTGTAAGAACCTTTTATGATTATTCATTATTTCTAGACTTTTTTTATTGCTAAATATGTTGTCGCCACAACTGCTGTCAGTGACAGCGTAACTTACAGTAGGGATGTGAGAGGCTAAAACTACAGAGGAATAGTGGTGACAAAAGGTAGAAATGAAGCATCATTTTCTCTTCGTCCTTCCTTTTAAAGGGAGGGAAGGTATTCCACATTTATAAGGATTATATTGTTGCTTCTCAGATATGATTCAAAGATACATATTGAAAGATGGGAAAGTATAAAACATTGTGTCATTAGGAATTCTAGTTCCATTCAAATAGGAAATGTTCGATTTATGATCCTTAAAAAAAGCTCATGACCAGCTTTTCCACTTGAGGAGAAAAGCGTAAGAATAGTTTTCTAAAAGTCTGTATAAAATGAACATTCGCTTTAGAGCCCTTTATTCGTTCAATTTCTGGGCATATTTAAAAAATCATTGAAGAATTAATGGAAGCTATATGAAAAATAATATTAAAACCCCTTAGTGAAATGCCAGTGGTTTGAGGCTTTTTTTCAGTGTTCATGGTTTAGTTTTTGAGTAAAATAAATGTTGATTTAAATAGGCCTGAACTCATCAGTTGAACACCACTTGAGGACCTGCTTCCCTTTCATTTACTCCAGGGTGGATGAAAAGAGAATTCACAGACCTCGGTGGCATTACTGTGCATAGACCTAAGGGTGAATAGAGTATCTGCTGTCATTTGCAAGGGCTATTTATTTAAGAGAAAAGGATCTCAGTTTCTGGACTGAGTGTGCTGTAAACCTTGGCATTGGAATATTTCTGCTAAGTGTGTTGAACACTTAACTGTTTGTGTATGTGGGGTTATTATCTTTATGCACACACATCCTATGAGCAGGGATGTGAAACTGTCAGTGAAAAGCAGGCTTTTTGCACCTACTGCTGTATTTAGTCTCATAATCTTGAGAATGTTGCATCTTTGCAGTGGTGGTACCTTGCTGAGGAATGATGATGATGATCATAGAATAATAGGATGGTTTGAATTAGAAGGAACCTTATTGATCATCCAGTTCCAACCCCCTGCCATGGGCAGGGACATCTTCCACTAGAGCAGGTTGCTCCAAGCCCCTTCCAACCAGCCTTGAGCACTGCCAGGGATGGAGCAGCCACAGCTTCTCTGGGCAACATGTGCCAGTGCCTCAGCACCCTCAGGGGAGAACTCCCTACTAACATCTAATCTAATTGTTTTTGTTTTTTTTGAATCACAGAATAGTTAGGGTTGGAAAGGACCTTGTGTTGTTTGTGGGGTGTTTGGTGGTTGGGGGGGGGGGGGGGTGGGGGGGGGGTGGGGGGGGTGGGGGGGGGTGTGTGGGTGCAGCGGAGACCATGTCCCCCTTCCCATCCCTCCCGCCGGAGGCATTCGTGTTCCCCGCGGCTGCTCAGTGTCACAGTCTCCAATAGCAAGAAGAGCCCATGCCCTGGCTACTGTGTACCAGCACCCAGCAGAGCCAGGCGCTCCTTTTAGCAAGTCCCAGAACCATCGCAACAGCATTCCTGGGAGAGGATTTTGTATTTAATGGAATTCAGGCTTTGTGTGATGGGGGCTCTTTAACTTTGCAATTGCTAAACAAGAGAACTCTGTTCTGGCAAATCTTGAGTTTCAACAAATATTCTCCTGCCATCTGTGGTGCCTTCTGCTTACAAACCTTTCCCCTTCTCCCCCCACCCTGAGCCAAAACAGCCATTCAGCCCAACAGCATTCCCACCTTTGGAATGATCCCTCAAAACCATCTGATTTTAATAAAGATCTGCCTGGAAAGCAAGAAAAAGAAAACCCAGTTTAGCCCAGCCAAGCCCAGCACTGTTTAGCTCAGTTCAGTGTGGCTTAGCCCCGTTTAGCCCAGTTCAGTCCAGTTTAGCCTAGCCCAGCCCAGTTTAGCTCAGTGTATCCCAGTATAGCCCAGTTCAGACCAGTCCAACCCAGTTTAGCCCAGTTCAGACCAATGTAGCCCAACCTAGCACAGTTTGGACCAGTTTAGCCCAGTACGGACCAGTTTAGCCCAGTACAGCCCAGTTTAGACTAGTTTAGCCCAGTACACACGTGTCCAGCCCAGTTTATCTCAGTTCAGTCACTTCACCCCAGTTCAGCCCAGCCCAGTTTAGCCTTGTTCAGACCAGCCCAGCCTGATTTAGCACAGTTTAGCCCAAGTATAGCCCAGCCTAGCCTTGTTTAGCCCAGTTAAGCCTACTTTGGCACTATTCAGACCAGACCAGTCCAGCTCAGCTT